GGCTCTCTGAGGAGGAATAGTAATCGAACTCGGGTCAGCCATGTTGGCTGCATATAAGGCAAACTCCCTACCCGCTGTGCTATCGCTCCAGCCCAGAGCTACTATACATATATATCATATATATATATAAAATCCATGATTTAGAATTTTGAAACCCACAGAAAATTGTCCATACATTCACCAAAAGACATGTTCAAGAACGTTCATAACAATATTATTCATATTCATAATGGAAACTCCCAAACAACCACTTATACAGGGGAGCAGTAGTCAATAATGATTGCGAACAGCTCATAGAACAGTAGAACATAGAATAACATAAATAATATGGATAGCATTGAGTGAAATAACACATATTGTTACTTAGACAATGGTCTACTGCTTACTTTGTGTAGTAGTTACATGGATCTGTTACTTAGCAAAAAATCATTGTCTATTATATGTTGATAAAGAGGTTCTTTTCTTGTTGTGGTTTCATTTTTGGGCCATATCTGGCAGTTCTCAAGGCTTATTCCTGGCTCTGTGTTCAGGGATCATTCCTGGTGGGGCTCAGTGAACATATGGGGTACCAAGTATCAAACCCACATTGGTTGCATGCAAGGCAAGCTCCCTATGCTGTACTATCTCTCTGGCTCTTTACATTGATAAGAATATTACAAAAATTTTTGTTTTCTCTTGGAAGGATAATTTTTGGAAACAGTGTTTGAGATGTATGGGTCACTTGACTACTGAGTTTTCTTGAACAAAGCAATTGCCTATTTCTAACATAACCCAGATCTCTAGAACCACAGAGAGATGCCTGGGTCAAGGAGAGAGAAAACTCAGCATATTAGAAGATGACTTTAACCCCTCCTTTGAATTTTCTTTATTATGGGTTATACTGTGAAATGTGAGTAATACTCCTTATAACTCCAGAAGTCATTTTTAAGGATTTGACAGATAAAAAACATAAAATCACAATGTGGCAGACTATTCAGGTTTAAGGAAAGTTTCTCTTTTCATCTTGGAGTCCTGTGGGATGATTAGTCTCCTTTCCTTCCGTCCTGGTGGACATATAGTAAATCAAGGTGATTTGTATATTGCATTCAAATTGCTTTGGGAATGTTTTCATGTTGGACTTCTGGGTGGGAAATAGCTCGGTACAGCTGTCACATATGTCCTGGAGAGCTTCCATTTGTCTTGCTTCAAGGTAGAGATGATCTGTAGAAGACACTCATGGGGAATATTTTCCTCCTCCTCATTCTGACTCTCTTGGAGTCATTGCATGTTGACCAGTGTTTTATTTTAGTTTATTTTTTTTGAGGCCCTGACCTGGAGATTGAACCTAGGGCTTCATCCATGTGCTCTACCACTAAGCCACATTTCCAGCCCTGAACAGGGTTTCTAACTGATGATTACTGAAGCTGCTTTGCTCTCAGGTGTAGAAAGCCAGAAATACTTTGGAATTGGTTGTCCCGAGGTGACTCTTAGCACAGAACTGACCAGCCTAAGAACATGGCCCTTTGGCACTCTTTCTTTGAAATAGAAAAAACTTGAAAACAACATTAATGTTCCAGAGATCCCCATAGGATCAGGTTGAGGAAATACTTCTGAAATTGCACTCATTGGATTTTCCTCCACCTGAACCAACTTCATCTCCCTCCTATTGGTCTCCCCTGGGAGTCTCTCAATAGATCACTTGCACCAAAATCTCATTTCAGGATGTGCTTCCAACCCAGGCCATTGGTGTTCTGAAAAATTCTATTAATTTATTATTTTTTTCAGGCCACACTCAGTTTTGCTGAAGTTCACATATGTCTCTGTGCTCACGCCTTGCAGTGCTTGGGAAAACATCTGTGGTGCCAGGGATCAAACAGGAGTCAACCACATACAAGTAAATCTTATATACTGTATTATTTCTCTCGCCCCATAACTTCCCTTCCCTTCCCTTCCCTTCCCTTCCCTTCCCTTCCCTTCCCTTCCCTTCCCTTCCCTTCCCTTCCCTTCCCTTCCCTTCCCTTCCCTTCCCTCCCCTCCCCTCCCCTCCCCTCCCCTCGCCTCGCCTTCCCTTCCCTTCCCTTCCCTTCCCTTCCCTTCCCTTCCCTTCCCTTCCCTTCCCTTCCCTTCCCTTCCCTTCCCTCCCCTCCCCTCCCCTCCCTTTCCTTCCCTCCCCTCCCTTTCGTTTCCTTCCCTTCCTTTCCCTTCCTTTCCCTTCCCTTCCCTTCCGTGTCCTTCCCCTTCCCTGTCCTTCCCCTCCCCTCCCCTCCCCCTCCTCTCCCCTCCCCTCCCCTTCCCTCTCCTTCCCTCCCCTTCCCTTCCCTTCCCTTCCCTTCCCTTCCCTTCCCTTCCCTTCCCTTCCCTTCCCTTCCCTTCCCTTCCCTTCCCTTCCCTTCCCCTCCCTTCCCCTCCTCTCCCCTCCCCCTCCTTCCCTTCCCTTCCCTTCCTTTCCCTTCCCTTCCCTTCCCTTCCCTTCCCTTCCCTTCCCTTCCCTTCCCTTCCCTTCCCTTCCCTTCCCTTCCCTTCCCTTCCATTTGTCTTGCTTCAAGGTAGAGATGATCTGTAGAAGACACTCATGGGGACACTTCCGTGTCCTTCCCCTTCCCTGTCCTTCCCCTCCCCTCCCCTCCCCCTCTTCTCCCCTCCCCTCCCCTTCCCTCTCCTTCCCTCCCCTTCCCTTCCCTCCCCTCCCCTTCCCTTCCCTTCCCTTCCCTTCCCTTCCCTTCCCTTCCCTTCCCTTCCCTTCCCTTCCCTTCCCTTCCCTTCCCTTCCCTTCCCCTCCCCTCCCCTCCCCTCCCCTCCCTCTCCTTCCCTTCCCTTCCCTTCCCTTCCCTTCCCTTCCCTTCCCTTCCCTTCCCTTCCCTTCCCTTCCCTACATTTTCTTCTCATTTTTTCTCCCCTCTTCCCTTCCCCTCCTTTCTTCTCCTCCTCTACTCTCCCCTCCCCTTTCCTCCCTTTGGTTTTAGGGCCACACCTAGCTGTGCTCAGGTCTTACTCTTGACTGAGCCTGCAGAGGGATTACTCCTAGTGGTACTCAGTGCTGGGGATTGAACCTGGGTAGGCTGTATGAGAAGTAAGTGTCTTTTAACACCTGTACCATCTCTCTGACCCATTGAAGACTTTAGAACTGGTTCCATGATGTTCAAAGGCTACTATTTACTACCACTTACTGCCAAGTATCATTTTGTTTTTTCTGGGCATAGAGAACATTAAATATGTGACCATTCACCAAATCAAAGAGTGCCTAAGAGATGGTGATCCTTTTTCTGTAAGTATATCTGCAAGTGTATGTTAATGAAGATTAATTGCTGCAGAGCCTTAAAATCTGTTTAGTGACCCAGCGTCACTGCTCCATCCCTATGATTTATTTATATTCTCTCCTTGTACGCATATAGGCTTTGGATTTTACTTGCCTTTTAAAATCTGAAGATGCTTTGAGCCAATACCTTACATCTTAGATTTAAAGAAAGACCAGAAACTCTTAATTTTAGGAACACTCCTGGTGCCTATTCTCTACAAAGCTCAGAGCAGACATAAAACTCCCTTTATTTACCTTCTTCCAGCTGGAGTGGCCAATGCCAGCCCAGGCTCCAAGGCCTCATAGGTTCTGAAATAAATAGTTCTATAAATAGTTCTATTATATAAGTAAATTTTTGTTTCTTTGATTTGTAGTAATGCTTTCATCACTGTCCATGTCTCAGTGTCTTAATTTTTCCACCTGACTTTTGTTAGAAGAACAAATGTTTGGCCTGATCTAAAAGATAAACACTACTCCCAACTTGGAGCCTCATCTATAAAAGAAGGCTAATTATACCTTTTCTATTCAAAGGCAGAGAATTGGACAAGATAATCTTTCAAGTTCCCTTTCTGTTCTGGGAATCAACTCTTACCTCCTTTGCAAATCAGAAAATGCACTGCATATGTGTTCAGAAGCAAGCAGGGCTGCCAGAATGATGTTGGAAACTCCAGTTGCTTAGCAACAACTGACAAAGATGGAGAACTCAATTCCTTTACCCTAGGAACTTGAATCTAACTTTTCACAAGTTGCCAGATGCAATGTCCTTGGACTATTATTTACATAGCAGGTATTTGCAGTCATACCACGTGTGTGGTGCATGAGCACTCCTGTTCATGACTCTATCAGGGTCAGAGTAGTGGGTGAGTAGGGATCTCTAAAAAGACTCAAATTTGAAATGTCCCCAGAAGTAGCAATATGTACCCTTTGTGGGATGCTGAGAGCAGACTGGAGGATCTCCTCTTACCTGTAGCTTGAAAGTTTTTTCATAAATCTTATTTCATACCATATGGCTTTGCTTATTTTTTTTTATCTGTGTTAGAAATCAATTCACCTTATAAGTGAACATATCTTGAGTGGTAGCACCCTACTTATCACATGTTCTGAAATATCCTCCATGAGAATGATTTTTCTTCTTGTATTCTTTTTGTTTGGCTTTTGGGTCACACCCAGCGATGCACAGGGGTTAGTCCTGGCTCATGCACTCAGGAATTACTCTTGGCGGTGCTTGGAGGACTATATGGGATGTTGGGAATCAAACCCGGGTCGGCCGCATGCAAGGCAAACGCCCTACCCACTGTGCTATTGCTCTAGTCCCTCTTGTATCTCACTGTGAGTATTTTTGGAGGAAAAATAACTAAGGGACAATAGGAGAATGAATTTCACAAAGAAAGAGACACTGATATGCCTCTAACATCTAAATAAATAGGTGATATAAGCACTTAGGCTTTGTTTTTTTTCTTAAGGATGTAGTTATATCATGTGTATGTATACTGGAGGGTAGTGGTGAGAAGGACTGATATAGAGTCAGGGAGATAGAGACAGAGAAAGAACCCATGATTAGAACCCATGACTTAGGACCCATGATTTGGTTAGAAACACCACCAGAGTTTCTAGGCTCTAAATATTCACAAGTACTCACACCTACTTTTTGAACACCTGGTATTGGGTAGAAAGACATGTTAATCCACTTGCAGAGCCAGCCCCTGGCCCAGAGCTGGAAACATACTTAGCCTCTAAAGCCAGAGCAAATACGCCAGCTGCCTCCGGAGCAGCTGCAGAGGTCCCAGAATGCCTCAGAGTGCAGTTGCCATACAGATCCGTAGTTGCCTAGAAGGAAAGAAATTGAGTCATGAATGAACAAGTCTCATTATTTGGAACTCTCAAACAATATGGAGCAGGGTATTATTATACATTTCTTTTATTAAAACTATGCATGTTCTAAAGAAGATTAAGATGAAAGATAAGTTTACCATCCCTATGCCTCTCTCCTTTGCCATAAATTTTACATGACCTTCCCAGTACACAAATACAAAGATGACATATAATTAGTTATAGTTACCACAAAAGAAATCAATCAATTGTTCAGGTATCACGGAGACTAAAGAGAGTTTTATTTCCTATATCTCCAGAGGGGAAAACCACAGGTAGAAAGTGAATAGTCAATACCAAATAGTTAATGTAAAGATGAATTTTGTTCCACTGGGGTCCTCAAAAAACCCTGGATTAGTATTCCTTCTTCCTTTGAGAAGACAAGTCATACCCAAAGAATATGACAAAACAAACATGCTCAGCTCAAGTCTGCCTAGAAGGATGGGGCAAGTTATTAAAGAGAAAGTATTTTTATTTCAAATCCACAAATATATTCTAAGTTCTGTTGAGCAAGACAACTGATACATGAGTGATTACCCAACTTTTTAAGGAGAGAGGGTTGAGTATTTGAATTTTAAAGAACTCTTACAAAGAGGAAACCTCATTTTAAAGAAATTTATTTTTAAAAATTTATTTTTAAAATCGATTTGCTCGAGCAGGCCCAGTAACATCTCCATCGTGAGACTTGTTGTTACTGTGTTTGGCATATTGAATATGTCACAGGTACCTTGCAAGTGAGATACTCTCGGTAGCTTGCCAGGCTCTTCGACAGGGGCAGAGGAATCAAACTCGGCTTGACTGGGCAGGCTGCATGCAAGGCAAATGTCCTACCACTGTGCTATCACTCCAGCCCCAATTAAAATGGCAACTTACAAAATTATTGACAGTTGAGTTTTAGGCATGGATAATCTCCATGTCTTCTACTCAAATCTCTTCGATAGCCATGTCCACTTGCAGACATACCAAATTCCACAGGATGGATATGTCGTTCCCAACGTTCTCCCTTCCGAAATCCGACACGCCATTTCGTCGGTAAAGAAACAAAGCACCCGGCCCAGACAAGGTCAGACCTGAACACCTGAAGAACCTGCCGTCAGTACTCATCAATACACTGGCTCGGCTCTTCACTCGCTACCTGTCTGAATGCAAGGTTCCGTCCCAATGGAAAACCAGCAGGACCGTACCACTGTTCAAGAAGGGAGACATCCATGACATTGGCAAATATCACCCGATCTGCCTATTGTCTGTCATCTACAAGTTGTTCACTCGAGTCATCCTAAATAGGATTGGCAGAACACTAGATGAAGGACAACCATGCGAGCAAGCCGGGTTCCGCAAAGGATTCAGCACCATCGACCATATCCACACGATAACCAAGCTTATTGAGGTTTCTCGGGAGTTCAAGATGCCGCTCTGTTTAACGTTCATTGATTTAAAGAAGGCCTTTGATTCTGTTGAGACGGAAGCGGTCATTGAAGCCCTAGCCAATCAGGGCATTCAAGCCCAATACATCAGGATCCTCCGTGAGCTGTATTGCGGATTCACTACCAGGATCTCACCATTCTACAAAGAAGTGATCGTTGATGTCAACAGAGGGGTGCGGCAGGGTGATACCATTTCACCGAAACTCTTCAGTGCCACTCTCGAGAACATCATGCGAAGACTGGAATGGGAAGGAATGGGAGTGAAGATAGATGGTCGGCAACTACACCACCTCCGCTTTGCTGATGACATTGTTTTAATAACACCAAACATCAGCCAAGCGGCACAAATGCTGGCCGACTTTGACCGTGAGTGTGGAAAGGTAGGACTACAGCTGAATCTTACGAAGACAATGTTTATGAGAAACAGCCTCGTTCCTGACGCCCCATTCGCTCTCAACGGAACGACCATCTCCGAATGCAACAGCTATGTGTACCTAGGTCGAGAAGTCAACATGACAAATGACCTGGCACCCGAGCTGCGCAGGAGGAAGAGAGCGGCTTGGAACGCCTTCAAGAACATCGAAGAAATAGCTAAGAGGACGAAGAATCTCCGGCTCCCGGCACATCTCTTTGATTCCACTCTTCTTCCTGCATTAACATATGCTTCAGAGACCTGGGCCCTACGCAAACAAAATGAGAATGCTATTCAGGTCTCCCAAAGAAGAATAGAAAGAGCTATGCTTGGAATATCACGTTTCACTCAAACGAGAGAAAGAATCCAGACTTCTGACATCCGTCGATGATCAAGAATCAGGGACGCTGTCTCATTTGCCAAGGTGTCGAAAATCAGATGGGCTGGTCACGTAATGAGATTTAAAGACGACCTCTGGACTAGAGCTGTTACCGACTGGATTCCACGGGATGTCAAAAGACCGCGTGGCCGCCCACCTACCAGATGGTCAGACTTCTTCGTCAAGATCATGAAGATCGGTTTGAGGCTCTTCATGTTCCCGGAGTGAACAGATGCCATTGGGCTACACTAGCACGCGACAGAGACAAATGGAGACGTTACTGGCGCCTGCTCGAGCAAATCGATGACTAACGGGAAGTTAAGTAATTAAGTGATTAAGAGTTTTAGGCATATAATATTTCAATGGCAGAGCCTGACAAGCTACCCGTGGCTACCATAAACAGTAACAATTACAGGTTTCATTCCCCTGACCCTGAAAGAGCCTCCAATATGGCAGCGTTGGGAAAGACAAGTAAGGAGAGACTGCTAAAATTTCAGGGCTGGGATGAATGGAGACAGTACTGGCACCTGCTCGACGAAAAATGGGATGGCAGTGGTACAGTGATGCAGTGAATATTTCAATACCAATCCCACCATCAGTGTCTTCCATCCCCCAGTGTTTCCACATTCCATTCCCACCCCCAAACCCACACCCTCCTCTACCTGTCAACTTGACAGACTCATTGCAAAGTTCTAGTGGTTGCAGCTTCGAACTCATGTTTCCAGTGTGAAAAAACTCATTTTGAATGCTTATGATATCCAGAGTTTTTCTTTAAGAACATGTATTAACCAAATTTGTCTATAGACTCATATCATGGGTCTTTAATTTTGAGGAATTATTTATAATCCCATCAGCGGCCAAGACTCAGAGACTATAAAATCCAGATCCCGGACGAGAGCAGTGCAGTCTCTGCCCCCGCGCCTCGGTGTTCCTTCCCGGAGTTCCTTGGAGGGGAGCGGGTTGAGCTTTCCTCCCCGCCCCGGCCAGGGCTACGGCAGCCGGAGACCTCCAGGACCAGCCACCACCATGCTGAGACCACTCTCCGCACACCTGAAGGTACTGGCAGAGGGACAAAGCCACGCGGGTTCCGGGGCCGAGACCTCCAAGCCTACATGAATTGGAGTCGAGCATCTTCCACCCAGATCCTCCAAATTCCAGTAGGCGGGGGTCACACCCACCACCTGGCCCCCTGGCGCCGTGTAATCCCATCAGCGGCCAAGACTCAGAGACTATAAAATTCAGATCCCGGTACCGCGCGGCCGCGTTTGCGGCCGCGCGACATCTTATCAGAACTTTTCTTTATGACATCTTATTATCTCATTCCTACTTTGGACAAACTTGCAGGCTTTCGAATGTAGCCTGCCCACAGGGCAGAGTCTGGCAAACTCCCCGTGGCCTACCAAATATGCCAAATACCAGTAACAATGATGGGTCTCATTCTCCTAAAGAGCCGTGAATATAATATCAGGGCTAGGATGAAAGAGACGTTACTGGGGCCTGCTCGAGGCAATCGACGATTAACAGGATGATGAAATGAAATGAAATGAAATTTATCTAGTGGTTCTACAAAAGTTAATGGGGAAAAATACAACGTTTAGAGGGACCTGTAGGCATTTAGGCATAGAGAAAGTTTAAGGACAATGTGACACCACAGGGAGCCTCTTGGGGTTAGCGACGGTGAGGATTGAGACTGAACAGGATTGAGGCTTCCTACACTCAATCCTTTCTGCTCTTTTTCCTGAAGAGGAAAGAGGCCAAAAGCTCCTACTTGGGAGGAGTTGACATACTTGAATTTTCCGACAATCCATGGGGAAACACCATGGAGTCTTGAGAAGCCAGCCAGGCTAAGGTCTGTAGGTCAAAGATCCTCTTGGGTCACATGAGACCATCCAGCTTGCTAAGGTGGACCCCTAGGCTGGAAGTTGGATGGAAACACCAATGGATAATGATGACTCTATTCTAAGTTCTTGTCCTTCTTCCTCCATCCAAAGGACCCCTTTCTACACCTCCCCCCCGTGAACGGGATGTAACCAGGATGTAGCTTAGCAGGAATCTTTAGACTAAATCAATTTCTCACCTGGAGGTCAGAAAAAGTGTTGATACGTGAATAAAATAACCAGAGAAAGGAGAGGTTATAAACAGGTTCATAAGGATGTGGAAAATTCATCATTACATCTACTTGCCCACGAAGGAAAGTTGTCTGGAAGGTGCAACAAATACCCTACACCTGTGATTCTTCAACTGTTCTCTTCTTTAGGTCACAGTCTTATTGAAAAACACAATGGAAAAACATGTCTATTCAACCTTGAGTGCAGAAATGGCTGCAAATGGAAGCTGTTTTTAAATACCTTCAAGAGCATTGAAGAAATAACTAAAAGGACAAAGAACCTCCAGCTACGAGCACATCTCTTTGATTCCACTATTCTTCCTGCATTAACATATGCCTCAGAGACCTGGACCCTACGAAAACAGGATGAGAACACTATCCGGGTCTCTCAAAGAGGAATCGAAAGAACTATGCTTGGAATATCACGATTCACTCAAATGAGAGATAGAATCCGGAGTTCTGATCTTCGTCAACGCTCAAGAATCAGGGACGCTGTCTCATTTGCCAAGACATCAAAAATCAGATGGGCTGGACACGTAATGAGGTTTACAGACAACCGCTGGACTAGAGCCATTACTGATTGGATTCCACGAGACATCAAAAGATCACGTGGACGCCCACCTATAAGATGGTCAGACTTCTTCGTCAAGACCCTAAATGATCGGTTTGAGGCTCTACATGTTCCTAAAACGAACAGATACCATTGGGCTACGCTAGCACGCAACCGGGATGAATGGAGACGTTACTGGCACCCGCTCGAATAAATCGATGAATAACAGGGATTAAGTGATTAAGTGATCATAATTGAAAGGCTCCTGTGGTGTAAGAGATAATACAGGGGAGCAGAGAACCTCTCCAACATGCAGCCAGCCTGGATTTGAACCTTGAAACCCCATAGGGTCCCCTAAACCTCACCAGGAGTGATTGCTGAAAGTAGTGCTGAACACCACCAGGTATGGCCCCCAAACCAAAAATGAAACAAAAGAAAATAAAAAGCAAATGTATGGGTTCTTGGCACCAGTAGGGTGGTGGTGAGAGGTCCCAATTCCTAATCCTAGTTCTCTTTGTAAGGGGCCCGATAGAGCTACTTTGGGAGAAAAGAGAATTAGCCATTATTTGTAGGCTCAAACAAAAAAAAAAACAGTCTGAAAATGAGAAAGATGTGTGTGTGTGTGTGTGTGTGTGTGGTGTGCTCACACCACACTCACTGCTTCTCCACACTCACTGAGTACATGGTGCATCATGCAGCTGCCTGGGCCTGCAAGGTCCTGCCGGAGACCCACGTTCCCGCCTCGCGAGGCTGCACAGACTGGGGCATCCTGCGCAGCCACTACACTCACCACGCCAGCCTCGGGGTTCCTCTTCCTTCCGTTGCTGAAGGTGGACGCCAAGGTTGAAGAGCAGCTCTCATCGTATAAGGCAGTCCTGCCGTCGTTTATAGCCGAGTTGATGGAGATGGTCCACATGCTGGAGGCGTAGCCATCACAGTTGCAGTCATCGTAACTGCCGCCGTCCCCCGACGCCCACACATAGATGCTACCTTTGCCTCCTCGGCCCTGCGAAGGACAAAGAGCCAAGAGCTAATTCCCACAGCCACTGGCAATGGGGGGTTGCAAGAGAGGTGGGGTGGAGAGGTCCTGGCCCGGGAAAGGGGGACTGGATTTCAGTGCAGAATGAAAGGACTAGATTTCATTCCTTCTGCCCTTGATAGCTGCCATCCTTGTGGTGGCAAAGTGAGGTGAGCCCTGACCCTACCACTGTAGCACTGTCCACAGTGCTACAGTCCTCCCATTGTTTATCAATTTGCTTGTGCGGACACCAGTAACGTCTCCATTGTAAGACTTGTTGTTACTGTTTTTGGCATATCGAATTCACCTTGGGGAGCTTGCCAGGCTCTGCCGTGTGGGAGGGATATTCTCGGTAGTTTGTCAGGCTCTGCCCTGCGGGCGGACTCTCAGAGAGGGATGGAGGAATCAGGCTCAGGTGGACCGCATGCAATGCAAACGCCCTACCCGCTGTGCTATCGCTCCAGCCACAAAGTATTCAATTTAAAAAGTCATCAGATCCAAGAATACCATATCCTGCCATCAGTCCCCCAAACACAAAATCATTAATTCAAAAGGATATATGCACACCTATGCTTATTGCTGTCATTAGTACAACAGCCGAGATATGGAAACCCAAATGCTTAACTACAGATGGATAGATCAAGAAGTCATATATACATACATATTGGGATACTGTGTAGCTCTAAGAACAAAGTCATGCAATTTCCAACAACATGAATGGACCCAGAGAATATCCTACTGAGTGAAATCAGCCAGAATGAAAGGGATGGATACAGAATGATCTCTCTCATATGTGGGACTTAGTGTTACCAAGTGAGGTAGAAATAAAGATCCAAAGGCAACATAACTGATCTACACAACTGAGTTGGCATGGGTGAGAGGGAGGGATGTTTGAGTTCCTTGGAGATGGAGATGGGTACACTGGTGATGGGTGTGGTTTAGAATTATGTTTACATTATGTATATAGAACAATTATTAAGAATATAGGAAACCAAAAATAAATACAAAAATATTATAGAAAGGTCACCAGTATTACCAGTTTTATTGGGGTATTTAAAATGCACACATATCCTTTTCACTTGCCATATACAAAAGCAATTTTTTCTTGTTTATTTATTTATTTTGATTTTTGGCCACACCCAGCAGTGATCAGGACTGACACCTTGCTTTGCACTCAGGGACCACTTCTTGCATAGCTTGGGAGACCATACAGGGTGCCAGGGACTGAACCCGGGCACTGTATACAAGGTAAATGGTTTACTTGCTATACTATTGCTTCGACCTCCAGGTAAACTGCTTTTGAAAAATCTATAAAGGTAGATTTACTACTTCCTTGTGGTAAAAAATCAAGGTATATGGTAAGTGAAATAAAAATAAGAAGTCCCCCCTTAAATGTAGTAATTTAAATCCAATTTAGGTGTCCCTTCAGATATTCTTTTCTGGCAAAAATGCACATGTGTATTTATACTTGACTGCAAAAAATGCAAAATATATGTATATATTTTACTATATATAACTCTATATGTATTTTTATATCTGTAGACAGTTAAGTAGAAAATACACATTTTGCTCCAAAATATATAAATCTTAGATTACTCATATATATGCATATATATTTAAACCCTCTTAGATCATAACAGAATCCTTTTAAGCAAGATACTATAATATCATAAAGGATTTTAAACCTGTGCAAGGGAACAGCAAAAGAAGAAATCTAACATGTTAAAATAAAACATACAGCAAAAAATCACTGTAAGGTATAATGGCTACCACCACATGCTGTTGGCTATAAACTGGAAGTGGGATCACAATCATCGGCAGTTCTTTTATTTAGTCTAAGTTCTCGGTACTCTTTATTTTCTCTCATCATTTCCAAACATCTAGTAGTATTCTTTCTACCTCCACAACTGAGGAATGTCCAAATCTTTCTAGCTTCCTACAATCTGACTTATAGAGACAGTAGAAACTACTCTGCATTCTCCTGCAGGCTGAGTGCTTGGAGCGAGCATGTGGGAGGGATAGCCTCATCCTCTCCACAGCCCGGGGCATGGAGGCTCAGTGAGAGGAAGACAAATAGAAGGTAATTCAGAGAAAGTCCATCCTGACAGGGCCGCCAGGGTCTTCTGTCCTGACTCTGGGTAAAGTGAGATGGTAGAAGGAAAACAAATGACTGTCCTCCCTCCAAGATCCATTTGCTCCTTTCAGTGAGAAACAATATTTCAGCTGCTTCCAACAGGAGTTAATTAACCTGGATTGATTAAGTCAATAAATCAACAAGAATTTATCCAACACTAATTGGGAACTGTCCTCAGTATCTTGCAAACTTTGCTCTGGAAAACTCCACTAATTAAGTGTTCTCAGAAGCAGGGCAGAGAGGGAAGTGAACTGTTCTTAAAGTGGGTACAGGGGATTATGTACTCAAACATACACAGATTTGGGCTTGATCTCAAGAAAAGTGACTTATGAAGTAGGCAAAGGGCAAGGTCGGCTATCTGTGTAACTGTCTCTAGAATCAGTCCACAAGTGGGAGATGAGGCAACCTTTGTCAAAAGGAAATCAATGCTAAAGCAATTGATAGTCTGTACTCATAGTCTGTTCTTACCTCGGAGTACAGACTATGGTAGACTGTGACTTATTTCTGATGCTTCTCTGTATTTTTGTCCCATTTACAATGTAACTTTCCAGCTCTACCCTCAAGAAAAGGATCTATTTCCTACATTTGGATCCAGGTTGGAATTCCCCACTTTGTGGTAGAATAGTCATAGTCTAGTATAATTCATTGTCCTTCCAACAGGCAGCAACTGCCCTAGATTATCTAGTGGTTTTGTGCTCCCTCCATGCTGACCACAGAAGCATAAGTGAGGTCAGCGGAAAGTAGTCAGAGCTAGTCCATATTGGTAGAACAACTACACTGATATGTAGCTCCAGAAGAAAACCTAAAGGTTATTTTAAGCTACTGAATTTGGGGACGATTTGTAAGTTGCTCATACACTCTATTACACAGAGAACAACCTTAATTTTCAGATGAACTTTAAGACTTGTCCACAAGATACTTTGAGTTGCTCTGAATATTAAAGTTTGCTTTCTTAAGCAAGATAGACCAGGTTAGGCACTAATCATATCACTGCTTCAAGTGATTTCATGCCAGTCACTAACTTTTCGGGAAGATAGGCCATTGAGGAGAAGAAAGCCCCGGTGCTTGGGGGAAAGGAAGATAAGGGGGAAACAGATATCCAGAAGAGAAGTGGGTTTTTATAGCATAGTTATATTATTGGCATGCTGAACTTTTAATATTAAAACAGCCCTCCAAGATCCATCTCTCTTCCCCAGCTTCACCTGAGCAGAGGCTTAGCTGGCAACCAAGACAGTAAAACATTGACCCACATTTCAGCAATAAGTTGGAGGATTCGACCAGAAACCTTAAAGATGATTAGTGCTGCAAGCACTTCAAAGGTGCTGCTCTAAGTAATACCGACATTGTAACCACACAGATTTCCTAAATGGCAGCACCATGATGGATATCTGTAGCCAAATGATGAATAAACTGTTTAGGAAAACAAAACTTGAATTAAGAAGCAAAGCACAAAATAAGACTTAAAAGCTCTGTGGTGAAAACAGCTGAGAGTTGGTCTAATGGAAAGCCACATCAACACACCATATTCTTGGCTAGAAAGACAGAGATGTATCTTACTCCCACATTAACAAAATAATTAATATTGCTGCAACTCACCAGGAATTTTTAGCTGTCTTCTGTTTGAGCCTATGATAAAATCCATTTATGACAGGGTAGTGAGTCATTTTAATCAATGAGTTGTAAGTAGGAATTATTGTCACCTCATATTTCCAGGCTTAAATATCTACTGATCAGTGATAAATGCTGGGGAGAGTTGTCTTTCCCTCTACAGACTCGCAACATCCCAGATGTCAGCCTTGGTTGACCACAGTGATGGAGGCATGGGGCCTAATGGAGACAATGATGGATTGTAGCTGAATGAGAAACTATATTGTTTGAAGCCTCTGAGCTTTGTGGACTGTTTGTTACCAGAGCATAATGTAGCCTCTCCCAACAGATTAAGTTTATCATGTTCACTTCTGTTAAAGTTATAACAGATACAGCATTCAAAAAAAAAAAACCCAACATGTAAAGAAGTCCCTGGAATTTGGATCCCAAGTCAAAAGCAGCCATTTCTATGATACTTCAGCAGCTACTGGTTTCACTTTTCCTGAGACTTATTACTCTCACTACCATCTACTGAATTGCTTATTATTTTAAAAGTGTGAATAAAACAAAAAAAGGGTTTTTTTGAAAAAAATTGAACATAGAGTGAAAAATATATTGAATTCCCATGTATCCATTGCTCAGCTTTAATAATGACCAGATTGGAAAATATGTTTAAAGGTTGTATTAGTAATACTTAGCACTCCTTTTTGGGTAAAATACTTCCCCTTTTATGCTTAGAAAGCCCCTCTCTGTCAATATATCGGTTATTAAATTAAATTTCCTTTTATGTTTTAGTGCTTCATTCACTTCTGTTCTTGTCTGTACTTGCAAGGTTGGAGATGGAAAACCAAGTAATGCATAGTTTTCGTCAGAGCCACTTTGAAAAAGACTCACCTGCAAGGAGCGGTACATATTTTCATAGAATGATTGGCCGCACCAAAAGGAAGAAAAGGACTGGTCAGAGTTATGGTCCTTCAGCATCAGATGCTGAGACAAAGATTTGGGATTATACAGGTATCTGAGGGCCAGTGATGAAAATAAGCAATGGCTCAGGAGGACAAGACTAGCAAGGGCGTGGGGAAAACCCACATGTAAGCTCATGAGAAGGTTTCTTCTGTAGGCAACTGAGCTAAATACCTCTGGATTCCCTTTTTGAACCTGCCACTAAGACAGGGGACCATCCCTGGAGTGTTAATCCCTCATGGTCCCCATGAAGTGGAAAGCCTGGATTGTTTTTATTTTATTTTTTATTTTTATTATTACTGGA